CCAGAACAATGCTATTTCATGATAATGTACCGCAAGTGTCCAAATTCTCAAGGAGTAGCAACCACCTAGCATGTACACAAAATACACCACAACATATTCAAGTAGCCAACGCATTGTCTATATATTCAAAATTACAAATGCACGTATCTCGTATGCACTTTATATTTACTCGAATTAGGAAATAGAAGAGAATCAATCATATGCATGATACATGAGCGTGCATGCCCCTCAATCCTCAATCACATCTTGGGATGCATCATCATGCAACATCTGCGAGAAATTATTTCTCAACAATTTCAATCTAGTATCCCCTCCATGCAATGAGGATGAAGCTACTCCAAGTATCATATATGGTTGACACTTCCTATAACACGTGTGTTGGGTCTTTTTGTTTTGATGATGATTAACAAACAATTTACAACTAATGCTGTTTGTCTAGTATTTGTATTTTGTATTTTGTTTTTTGCTTGTGCCTTGAGACACACTATTTTATAATGATATATCTACACTGTTCTCAATTGTTTGTTATATGTGAGTTATGCTTAGCATATTTTACATTTATGCTTGCTCACATGTTTGCCATGATCTTTATTGCATATACTCCATACGACATTTTGATAGGGGGAGCAATCCCTATACTTGTTTTATACTAACCCATACTTACTTGTAGGGGGAGCTTTCGCTCTCTCCATTCTTTTGTTTTCTCCTTTTGATGTTGTCAAAGGGGGAGAAATATTGTGAGTATATCTTGTTTTCGTTATATGCATGATAATTCTAATTTACATATTAATTTCCTTTCATGCATATATCTCTTTTTGTAAATTATTTGTCATTATCAAAAAGGGGGAGATTGTTAGGTCATTTTATTTTGATGATGATTAATAAACAATTTACAACTAATGTTGTTTGTCTAGTGTGTGTGTTTTGTATTTATTCTAGGCAAACAATATGTTGAAGGATGAAGGGAATCGAGCATTCACGATCATATCCAATGGAGGTTGGCGGAATTATGGTATGAAGCTTATGCAATTCAAGTTGAAGATCCAAGTTCAAGCTTCATCCGCATGTTTACCAAGTTGAGCTCATTGAAGACCTTCATCAAGCTTGGGTATATAGTTTATAGTGTTTATAGTATAGGTTTATACTTCATCAAGCTTGGGTATATAGTTTATAGTGTTTATAGTATAGGTTTATACTTGTGTGTTAATGCTTTAAGCTCATATTATTCAAGTTTATAGTGTTTATAGTATAGGTTTATACTTGTGTGTTAATGCTTTAAGCTCATATTATTCACACACATGTATTTGTTGATTTTAAGTCTATAAAAACATTTCACAAAGTTTCAAAAGTTTGTTAAGTCAAATGTCAAAAACATGTATGTTTAGCTTTCATGTTTTTGAACATATTTGAAAAATGAAGATTTTTTACATTTGGGAGGTGATTTTTGAAAACCAGTTTTTGTAACATGTGTATTATCATGTCTATAATCATTTTCTAAAGTTTTACATTTTTTAAAATTGATTTGCTATTTTTATAGGCACTTCAAAAATCAGTTTTACTATTTGATTCAGGCTAATAACTTGTTATTAGTCGACTGGTAAGTCGACTGATGACATCAGCCGACTGATGTGTCGGCTGAAGAATATGCCTGGAACCAACAAAAAATTTATATTTTGTTTCAGTCGACTGATGAGATCATTGGTCGACTGACAAGTTCATTGGTCGACTGACAAGTTCATCAGTCGACTGATGATGTGTTGATGGCCTGTAACGGTCAGCTCATCAGTCGACTGATGAACAGTATCAGTCGACTGACGGTCCAACGGCTAGTTTTTTTAGCTTTCTATTTTTTTGTCTTTTTGTTGGTTTTGTTGGTTTCTTCTTGGGTTTGGGGTTTCCTATAAATACCCCCACATAGTTTAACAAGAAGAAAGTTTTTAAATAAGTTTAAAGGGTGTTTAAGTTTGTTTTAGTGTTTGTTTTAAGTTTAATTTGTGAAGATAATTTCACAAGAACTTGAGGAAATCATCCATTGATGTTTGAGCATTCAACTCTCATCCATTGGTGTTTGAGCATTCAACTCTTTTCCCTCTCTCTTGTTATCTTTAGAGAAGTTTTCCTAAACTCAATCTAGCTTTACATTTATATTGTTTGATTGTCATTTTTCTAAGCTAGAGTTTATATTGAGTTTAGTTTGATTTTGATTTATTGAATCTCATTGTTACACACACACTCACTTGAGCTTTAAGTATTTACATACATAGTATAATTTGGGTTATAAGAGATTATAACCTTGAGTTGTGCTTAATTGAGTTCTCGCCTTGTTTAGAGAACAATCACTCGTTGTGAGCTATTATTGTGAGGTTAACTTTGTATTACACTAGTACACCAAGAGGAGTGTGTGGTGAGAGATGGGGTCGTCCCAAGTAGAGTGGGGTAGGTGGTAATACCTAGAGAGATGTTGTAATTCCTAACACTTGAGGGAGACACGGGTTAGAGACCAACACTTGAGGTGGTAGTTGGTGTGTTTACATTGTGAGTGATTGTAAAGTTTTCGGTGAACTAGAAAACCGAGTGTGAGGTGTAAACGTTATTCGGGTGAGCGTAGAAAATCCGGTTGTGATAGTGGAGATCTCCTCGAGGTGAGGAGCGGAGACGTAGGTCGTGGGGACCGAACTCCGTGATCATATTTTGTGTTTGAGTTTGGCTTAGCGCACTTATATTTGTGTTCATCTTTATTGTCATTCTCTCATTGTTTATTTCATCCACTATATTGTTTATATCTAGTTTCACCCTTGTGTTAGTTTGCATATCCTTGCATATATATATTGTTACATATCATATTTACTAGGATATTTGTTAGTAAGGTTTAATTGGCATTTAAATCGGATTAGATTAGCATAAACCCTATTCAACCCCCCCCCCCCCCCGATCCCCCCCCCCCCCCCTCTAGGGTTCTTCCCTAGTGGCATTAGGATGCTTTCAACGTGTACCATCAATGCAGAGGCCGAGAATGATCCATACATCCTCAAGAGTAATGGTCGACTCTTCAAGACGCAAATTAAAAATATTTGTCTCTGACTTCCATCTATTGATCAAAGCGTTATAATATCGCAAGTTAGAAATTTGTAGTGTGAGCATCTCAAATTTCCCTAATGTGGAGAGCTTCTAAGCTCATAATAATACTAGCAAATAATCCCCGCATGATGCAGGGGAAAAGCAAGAAATCAAATGTTATTTAAACATATGGGAAACAAGTTCTGGGACATGGTTTTATTTCCATAATCATATGCGTACAAAAATTTGACATTTCTTCTCTATAGAATTCGAAAAGATAACAATATCTAACAATCTTGATCTTGGATGTAATGCACAGATAATTCATTCCCTTCAATTTCATTGAGTTCGTAAATCAATACATGTCCATAAATTCAATTGATCGAGTTTGTATTTTCAGCCTAGATACCCTACAAAAAGAGGCAATATGAGAACAAAACAACACAAAAGTGAAATTGAAAGCTCGCTATGGAACACATGAGACTTTACTGTTCACTCTCATCACCCTTCCTCCCGCAGTCCAGAGTCGAGAAATGTAACGTACGTGGATCTGGACATCAAATAGAAGGTTTCCTAGAGCGACTGACATCAGAACCTTTTTGATATCATCATAATATTATTGCCCAAAACTCAACTTTCTACATACTCGTAGAGTTTCCCTTCATGAGTAGCAGAAACTTTTTGATGGCAGCATCATTTTAGTTTCTTAGCTTAAGGAAGATACTTATCGTTTTTCCTAAAACCCGACGGTCAGCTCCAAGCTCGATCTTCATTTCTTATCCTTCGGCGAGAGTCTCGTTTTTTTACTGCCATTGATATAGTTTACCTGCACCTAATACGATAGAACACAGCCATGCCCATGCATATTCCGTTCTCCTAGTTGTGCTGATGGCTGCTGGTGAATGACAAAAGGTCAGGCACAATGAAGATGGTGTCTCTACTTGGTAATAAAAGCGAGGGCTCGCAAGGTATGAGGATGGAATCAGCACTACATACGTTGGAATCAACCAAAGTCTACAATTTCACATATATAGCTAAGAAATAGCATCTCATCAGTAAATTTGCCAGTGGGACATCTTTTGAAAGGTTGTTCAAACAAATCACCCCGAAGTTGTGAGGGTTTTCATCAAGCCCATCTGAGAACCGAAGGCGGATATTTCATCATACACGAATAACCCATTACATCCCATTATGAGACTTTTCAATCTTATATCAAATTTCTGGTTAAGCGCTGTCTGAAATTAAACCATGGTATTCATCAAAATTACTCAAATTTTACCATAAAATTTTTAATACGACAAAATCAAAACTAATAGATCACATATGACTAGCAGTCCCATGTAGTTAGCGAGCACCGCTAGTTATAGGGTATTACCGGGCCACTAAATATAGGGAATTATCAATCCTCTATATCTAAAAAATCATACATTACAAAATCGACTAACTTTCAACTAATTGTGCTCGCGTGGTTGAAAAGTTGTAGATCTTTCTAATTTTAAAAAAAAAAAATTTTTGATCGATTATGCTGATTACATTTCAAAAATTTCTCCAAATATCATATCATCAATCTAGTACAGTTGAACTCAAATCAGATCATTTCGTCGATTTACAATAAACAAACATTCTGCATCGCCAAAATAAAAAAACAGCCAACTGTCTTTAGTACTGACGAATAATTGATTTGGATCTAAAATTAAGTTTCTTACAATAAAAACGCAAATATCCGAACAACGAAATTTAAGTAAATCCTCTGCAAACGCGGATGGCATGTCAAATTTTTTCACATGCAATATATTCTGCATTTAGACATGCAGCATACCAGAAAGGCCCCAAACTCAGATGTAACTGTAGAACGAGCGTAGCAATGTAACTAGCTGCCGGTTCAAAAGAAAAAGAGCCACATCCGTTACCATCCACCAAATAGAAAACAGATGCAAAGAAACTCATTCAACTCAACTTTCATAACAATCATATATAAGCTTAAGCTCAAGTTACATATAAAGTAGCAGAACATCTACAAGCTCTACATATGCAAATAATTCTAAGCCTATACAACAGCCAACAGTAATTAGAGAAAAAAAAAACCTAATTATTCTGATACCATATCATCCAAAGGTCTTTCTCAACATGTAAGCCCACAACACATAATTACACATATACACATCTACACCAGCCAGCAGACTCCATATACATCGCTTAGGCATGATTCTCAGCCCTGAGGTGAGAATAGCAATCATCACTAGTATTGAACCCTTCCAAGCAAACCCAGCAAATATGCTTTCCACACCTGCACTCAATGTGATTGCACCCATCAACCTTCTCTATAGTGTGCCCACAAGCTGGACAATCTTTCACATGCTTTTTCCCCTTTCGCCATTCCATCAAAGACTTATCCGGCTCATCCTTAAACTCCTTGTATCGCTCGCAAGATATGAAAGGATGGTACTCCAAATGGCAACGAGTGCAAGTCTCAGCCGAGCATGCTCCACATACAAACGGAGCATCGGGCTGTTCATCCTCGTCAGCAACTTTGTAGATAGATGGGCAGTCTGGAGACGGGCAGAACCGATAAAGCCCATTACTTGAGGCAACAAAGGACCCCAGTGAGGCCCGAAAGAGATCTTCTAACTTATCAGATGGAAGCAAGGATTTAAGATCGACGAGCAAGAAGGGTTCGTTGCAACCAGCCTTGGTGCAGCGAAGAGGGAAGCCTTCATGTGAACGAGCAAGAGATTCGCATTGGTCTACCAAGCACGAGTGACAAAAGTCATGGCCACAGCTTTCTAGCTTATAAGGCTCATCAATCTCACATAAACAGATTGGGCATTCTGAAGATAAAGATGACAGCAATGCATCCGGTGGTGATGAAACTCCAAGAGATAGAGCTACCTCAGAGACAATCTCTTCAATCTTCTGCTTCTGTTCTTTGGTTCCTCTCACATAAAGAATGTGGCGACGAGTGTTGAGGCTGAGATCCACGCCGGGAACTTTCTCTTTGAGACGCTCGAGATCTGCACCAAACATCTGGACTATATTTTTCATAATATCTGGAGGAAGGTTGTGGCCTCGAAGGCGGATCTCTAGAGGTTTATTCTCATGATGTGCCAGCAGTGATCTGCCCAGTTTGCCCTCAGCGTTGATGACTGAACTTGGTGAGCCAAAGATTCTCACACTGAGATTTTGACGGTCATACAGGATATAAGTAGCTGTGTCTCGTTCTATAGATCGAAGCAGATCAATTCCTTCACGGGTGACAAGGAAAAGGAGAATAGTAGGGGTCAAGCCCGGATGGGTAACAATCTTGCCTCTGGTTAGTTGTTCAAGAGGTTTCCTCATATCTGCAACAGTTTTCGTTGCATTTGCAGAGATCTTCACCCTGTAGGTATTGGTGAGGGTCTTCTCCACCGTACAAGTCACACCTGAGATAAGAAAGATAAATGATATAAGAAAATATGTAAATAGATCTACCAATCACACATTAAGTTTTAGGAACAGTGAAGAGGATTTAAAACCAAGTGCATTGGATAATGAACTAGATTACAGGAAGAAGAAAAAGGGCAACAGAGCTACAAGATTCATGTTTTTGGTGGTTTTAAGGGAACATCATGAGAACTATCTTCCTAAGTTTTAGGTTTAGATATTTAATAAACGAAGAAGGAAAGATTATAGAAAAATTGGAAAAGCTAGTTAGTGGTCTTTTATCCATAACACGCTATGCACAAAAACATGCAAGCATGGAATGAGTTCATGAAATTTTCTTCCAATTAGAAGAGGCAGAGGACATCAATTTGCCACCTCTTTCCCGCCCACCAAATTTTGCTCCAGCTACATCAAGCCCCGGGAAGGAGCATTAATAAATTTCAAATAATATAAGGTTACCATAATATTCACAAGTGAAAGACAACAGTCAACAATTCTTAAAGGTAGCATACCTGTTATACTCTTGAAGCTCTTAAGTAAAGAATCAAGCTCCCCCCTGATAACAGCGTAGACACGAGTAGGACAAGAAACAAAGCTATAGAACACATGTTGGCACTGTATCTTCTGCCATGACTCACAGCCAGGTAATACTTTCCCTTGGAGATTATCCAAAGCTTTTGCTGCCTCCAGATGAAGACTTCCATTAAAAGTCAGCAAAGCTCTGACCACATGATCTTTCGGTTCAGGAGTAAACACTTCAACCTGGAAAAGTTGATTTATGCAATGCCTGTTAGGCATGAATGGAGCAATTTCTCTTCTGAGTGCTTCAGCACAAGTTGCTTCTGGAACACTTGTGATCGCCTCGTATTTCAACAATTTAACTCCGAGAATTCTCCTAGTTGAAGTGCTTACAAATTCCTCATATATTTCTGATTCTGATACATCTTTTGGAATCCCTGCTACAAACACACAACCTCTGGATTTTGTACTAATCTCAACATTCACATATTTTCCCCCAATTGCCAAGGCAAAACATTCACTAACAATGATTGCGGCATCCTCCTCTGTACATTGAACAAGTGCAACTCCTTTACTGCGTCTACGTGGCCAACAAACTTTGGCTCTTACTGCAGAGCACGGCAATGTTTTGTGATCCGCTACTCTCATTGGGAGTACCTTCAACAAGGAGCCACAAAACTCAACCTCATTCAATTTAGCCACAGCGTTTTCAGCAAATTCAGGAGTAAGAAACGTTATTCTGCCCCACTTATTTGAGCCTGCACTTTCTGATCCTGAAGGTTTGGAAAAGTTAGCTATTCCTGGAGCATATCGTTCGACTAGCCTCAAAAGTTTCTTTTCATTTAAATCAGATGCAATTGGATGAAATATTTCCACAGTAAGATACCTCTTCTCAAGTTCCAAATGCTTAATTCCAGCACCAAGACCAAATAGAGCCACAGTCGAAGGAGTTCCGGGTCCACCGTAGAATAAGTTTTTTTCAATGCACTCATCTCTCAACCATCTCTTTTCACTCTCCACGCAATCCATAACAATGGATGAAACCTTCTCCATATCCTTTGCAGTAGCAAAAATCTGAATTTCTCTTCTACCAAAGTCAACATTGATACTGATGTTGTCATCCTTGCATTCTTCTCTAGCATGTGAAATAGTACTGTGTAGGTTGGAATTATATTTGCCACAAAACCTCTTCAAAAGATGATTCCCAGCTACAGCTATCACTTTCAAACTCATCTTCCGCTTCTCCAACTGTGTGACATCAAATAAAGGATTCTCAATATTTAGCAGGTCATTATAGTTCACAGAATTTACACAAACCAGATACTGATTGTCTACTGATAAAACATCACAAAAAACAACCCAATCTGGCCTCTCTCCATATACTAGCAATGAGCAGGAAGGATGAAGTTGCAGTTGTTGCCCAGAAAAAGCCACTTTATAACCAAGTTGTTCAGACCCCGAGAACATGGCAACATTCTCCACAAGACATGAGAGTATAATTTTCTTCAACAATCTGTCAAATTCAGTAGGTCTATGAGGATGCCAACGCCAGTAAGAGGGAATGACCGTGTTGAGTTCATAACGCATGGATTTTTCCAACTCCATGACAGTGTCCTGACATCTTCTCATAGATTTCGCATTGATGCTATTCTGCCAGCACCACTTGTTTCTACTTTCTTGCACTTCCTCCCATTCCTTGTAGACAGCGAGAAGGGTAAAAAGGTCACCATCACGATGGCAGAATGGCAACTTAAGGCAGTCTGCTTTATGCTTATCATTCTCACAACCAACTCTACAGAATATACTGCTAGAGTTTGCCATAACGGCAGCAAGCACCAGCCCTTCTTTTTTAAGGCCACAGCCAAAACAATCAAGAATAATCTTCCCAAGGCGTGGTTCAATGTCCAACCTGACCAACCGAGAACCAGTAGAGGTAATTTCAAAAACATCATTTTTCATCACAATAGCACCTAGCTGGATCAGGTTCTGCAAGGCCTTTTGAATTGCTTTTGGTTCAGGAGCATCAACAAAATCAAAGTCTTGGACATTCTTTATCCCGAGAGAAAGAATTCTCAACACAGCAATTCCAAGATGCACTTTACGAATTTCAGGCTCCTGATGCATGCTCATTGATTGGAAATCAGATTCAGAGTACAGCCTGTAGCACTTGCCCGGTCCTGTTCGACCTGCTCGGCCTGCTCGTTGATTGGCAGAACTTTGGCTGATCCGGCCAACCTTGAGTACATTCATGCCAGTGGAGGGCTCAAATCTGCTATCCTTAACCATGCCAGAATCAACCACATACTTAACATCTTGAATAGTAAGAGAAGTCTCTGCCACATTTGTAGCAAATATTACTTTCCTTTTTCCAGGGTAATTTTGCATGACTCGATTTTGATCTTCATGAGAAAGTTTACCATGCATTGGTAAGACAATTGTTGAGGGATCACTGAAACTCTCACAAGCCCATTCTACCTCCGCTTGAGAAGTCAAAAATGCAAGAATTGCACCACCTTCTTCAGTTCTATGAATCATGGTCACCATCATTATAACATCAGAGACATATGAAGGATACTTATCAGACATTAGCTTAGGAACCCTAGACCAAGCAGCCTTCACAGATACATTAGGAACATATTCGATGCTCACGGGGAAGTTCCTCCCCTTGACATATATGGAAGGACTACCATAAAAATAATCTGCAAGCTTGCTTGCATTAGCAGTAGCAGACATTATTATAACCCTTACATCACTCTGGAGTAGTTCTTTCTTAATCAATGCCAACAAGAGATCAGTGCTCAAGCTTCTTTCATGAGCTTCATCTATAATGATATATGAAATTCCTTTAAAATTCCTTTTTCCCATGTAGTGTTGCAAGAGACAATGGTCTGTCATAAATACAATCCTTGACTTGAATTCTTGATAAGGTGAATATGAAGGATAAGAAACAATAAAGTTGTCATCATCATAGCATCCAATACTTTCCTCTGCAATTCTTTGTGCTACAGAAATGGCAGCAATTTTGCGAGGCTGTGTGCAAATTACTGATTCCATAGAAGCTAAGCCAGCATCAGCAATGAACTGCACCAATTGTGTACTCTTTCCAGAACCAGTCTCTCCAATTACAACTGTAACCTGTGAGAAACGAAGTTGAAGAACTAAAACTTATAACGTCTAGGCATATCTTACTATGTTTATCAAATATTTGTATTTCAGAGCTCTACGAATTTTGACTGATGAAACCAAATGGAATCAACGAAAAAGTAACCAGAATAATTTACTATGTATGTACCAAGGAAAAGATGGCTAACGTTAGACAATAATATCAAAGAAGCACACAGGAACAACTTGAGAGAGTAATATGCTAGGCAGATAAAAATGTGTTTCCATAAATGTATTTCCAATTATAATGGCTTAATCCCCTTGGAAATGAAGAGAAAAGAGATAGAAATGTGTTTCCGTAAATCAAAGTGAACCTATTAGAATTTAGAACTGTTAAAGGCCTGTAGATTCAAATTTCCTTCGTCCCAAATTTGTCCCACTGTACAAGCTTCGGAAATAGACGATTCCTTCATGGACACCTGACAAGCTCCAAACACTTTTGAATACTGATTTTAATTTTTGAGGTGAAAAAAATATTAACAAAGAACTGTAATGTGAGCATAACAGGCTAACTAACATCCAATTTGACCATGCTCCTTGTGACTGGTAGCAAGCATCCTTGAATTGGACCTGACATCTCTATGCTCTATCTCGACCAACACTTTCACCATCGATGGTCACTTTTCCCGACCTAGGACTATTGGGACTTGGGGAAATGCCTTATTGTTTCAGCTAGCAAAGCCTCTGGAGGAAAATTGGGGAAGGATATATGATAAATCCTTGAGAAGGATAAAGATTTCTTCCATATATTTTCATGTACGGATGGACATGCACGATACTGTTGTGCCATGTCATGCATGGACAGTCGTTAATCTTCAAGTGGTGAAGGCCTGGTTCAGGTAACATACAAAAGAACTCCTCTAACCTTCCTATTTCAGTAATTTTCATAACTTAAATTGTGGTGGCTACACACTTAAAGGAAACTAGTCTTCACGGATGAGCTAACAGCTGAGTAATCTACAACCCTTTTTGGTGGCATTGCGATAAATTAGAAAGAGACAATAGTTCATGATTGTCAATAGAGATCTCAATATGGTAGAAAATATAATGCAGATGATGATCCCATATCAGGGCCTTGCAATAAATGAAAGACCTTTAGTTATAATAAACTACTTTCCTCATTTGCAAGCAGTCGTGTCTCAAGAGGAAAGAAGACAGCACATAAGGGGATTAAATCATGTGTGTGTGCGTATCGAGAGAGGTTCACCATCTAGCCAAACTCCATAAGTACATAGAGGGAAGGACATTTATGTGCTTAATTTCAGAGAATAAAGTGTATAGTCCAGAAGCCTCAACTTTCAAAAGCAGACTTGATTTAAATGGGAAAAAACAAATTCATTCTAAAACCTCTAGCTGATTTGGTATTTGAAGTTCCAAATGAATTACTCTCAAATTTAGGTTGATACAGCTTAATTCACAACTAGCAACTTGTGTAATGGTTTTCCTAGTAAGCAATTTGTGTACAAGGTTTGGTTTCAATGGGAAAACAAATACTATCAAACACCTCTTGTAGTTCCTAATGCATTATTCGCAAATGTAGGTCAATAAAGCTTGATGCATAATTAAGCAACTTGCTTAATGGTTTTCTTTGTAAGCAACTTGTGCATAAGATTACAGTTATGCATTACGCCTATTAAGTCAATTTTTATTCATATAACCTGCTACCTGACATGCCAAAAGAGCTACTTTTAACAAGCAAAAATAGCACTAGAAGTATCATCGATTCATCACTAAATCAAAAGAATAACAGGACATGGTCAATGGCCAAGAGTTTGCTGTTACTCAAGAAAGGAAATAAGAAAATAACTATTAAATATTGTGGTTAATTTAGCTCCAAAAAAGCAAGGTTAATTAGTTAACCAGGTCAGTAATGAAAAACCGATAGTTTGACTAAGTTACTATTATGGGTCTTAATTTATGCTACCTGAGTACTTCTATCTTGGTCTTACCCCTACTTGACACAAACTTGTACTCATACCCATACCCAAACTCCCTGAACACACCTTGCATAATATGCATACATTTATTTGGCATGTACTCAATTAAACAATACATGTTTTAATTTAGAACATTTATCAAACTATCCTGAACATAAATCCTACACTTCACATCCACTTTGTTGAAACTCGTTAGGTCCCAACTATGATTTTAATGGTAGTTTGAGACTTGTAGTACAAAAACTGAGCATTTTTACGATTTACCTACGTTGAATGGATACGATGCGGACACAAATACAGACATGGGTGGGACACAGATACGGACATGGGTGCGGATAGAGGACACAGCATATTGTAAAAGTTGGATACGGGGACACGGTTATATACATATTAAAATTATTACTCATATAAGGTTGACATTGTTTTTGACTTATATGTTATGAGAACTAAAATCCTTATACCATTTTTATTTTTCTTTTATCGAGTAGATTATAAATTGAAAAACCGCTTGTTTTTTAACTAGATACCCAAACAACCCTTTAAAATCATACTTATGAACTAGGTATGAGCTAGAACGAACCTAACATGAACCAATGAGTTGCATAAACTTATGGTGAAGTGTATAATATATGTTCAAGAAGTGTATCACGAGTTTTTTTAATTGAAGTGTTGAGTACACCTCTCAATAAATGTATGTATATTAATTCAAGAAGTGTCCAAGGAGTGTCGAACATGGACACGGACATGGGAGCCTAGATGAAGTGTCCGGGCAACCTAGCAATTTACAATCCACATAATAAAAGAAACATAAAAATGCTATAAGATTTTTAGTTCTCATAAAACGTGAATAAAAGAAAGTGTATATAAAGATTTATATAGCCGTGTCTCCGTACCCACATTTTTTGCAAATTTGTCGTGTCCCGTACTAGTACCGTATCGGTACCTTTACCCGTACCCATACCTACGCAACATACGTCTTATTTGAGTCAATATAACAAGGTTCAATTATGGAATTTGAAAGGTTTGGTTTTTTTTTTCTATCACCTCCTAGTGCAACACAAAGGATGAAGCGCAAGAACATAAAGGATGAAGCACAAGAGCATTTATGAAGATTGGCTTTCATAATAATAGGGTTTGCTTATGGAATTCAAAAGCTCTGGTTTATTATTCTATCATCTAGTAGCACAACACAGGGTGAATTGTAGGAGCGCTCTTTATGAAGATTGGCTCTCATAAATCTCCTTTCCCAAATCTTTTCCTCGTTTCCTATTTTCTTGTGACTGCATCTACACTGTTCTGTACATGATCAGCAACAACCTTCTGAACCTTTCTTCATATCAACCAAAGTAAGCCCCTAATCTAATTTCTATAATCTAGTAAACTTTGGTTCAATGAACTTGGTAGCGGAGCATTCCGAATCTGAATCTGCTACTTATACTCCTAATTTCCTCTCAACTCATCTATTCCTCTCATTGTTTAAATATCCACGATATCACCCTATATATTGGCTGAATATCCTTTTATAACACTGGCTACAAAACGATATGGTCTGAATATCATTTACCACTTTTTAGCAATTTTTGGGTGATATATCTCTGACATGACCAATCTATCGACTGATATGTTGGCTGACATATCCTTTTATATAATTTTGTTGCAAAGCATTACAGTATAGGAAAAGTTTCTTTAATGTTTGTTAGCAAAAATTCCAATCCTATGAAGTTTTTTTGCAAAAATTCCAACCCCATGAAGTTTTTTAGCAAAAATTCTAGTGTGCTCTTTTCCCTAAGTTTCTACAATTCGTTGGCGATCCTAAACATATATTATTACATTTTGCTATGCTTACATTTGAGTAAGTATATCTAGATTACATTTTAGGACATTATACTATGTGTGCACATCATGCAACACATGACACTTCAATATTTACAATATTTCCCCATTATCTGCAATCTGATATAGATATTGGTTGTCCGTTATTTCCCCAATATCCAATATTTCTACCCTATGCTTATGACTAAATTTTAAATATAAATATGATTTAGGAGGACCAGAAGAAGTCTCTTCAATGTTTTAATACAACAAGACTCTGATTTAAACCTAAACAGTCAATAAAAGCATAGACTACACTTTTCAACCTTTAGATCTCAATTTTAACAACTTAAGTGACATGAATACATAAGAATTCTCTTTGAGACGATATAACAAAGTTCTTCAAACAAGGATACATAAGAATTCCCTTTATATCGAGACTAATATCCGGATCTCCAATCACTATTAATGGGTCCTGATTCGTTAGTTCATGTCTGCCCCAGTTTAAGCAAGAAGATTGACTTGATGAAGTTTTTGAGCAAATCTCATTATCCCTTACCCTCACATTTGCATCAACAACTCATTCACAAGATATGCAAGTAAAGAACACAAGCTTTAAATTGGATAAAGAAAAAGTCTTGATAGAGTTCAAGTCAGTACGTGTTCAGTTATGGAAATCCCAAGGAATCTTGTCTATAATGTAGCATCGTACCCAAAGACTTAAGGTTAATGGAAATATTAAGAATAATGGAAATATTAAAAATGAGGTCTCATATCACTGGCAATTTTCATGCTATTTCTGAATTTTGATAGCAAACAAAACCCTCCAAAAACCCTTCCTATGTCCACCAAAATCCCAGAGTCCTGCTTATGTATCTTCTAAACCTGGATTGTGTTTGCACTTTCACTTATTTGATAATAACTCCATGGCACCAAACTTGGAATTACAATAAAAGTTAAATTTTCCCAAATAAGCAGAAAGGAGGCATGATATATTCAAGAAGCTTCGGCACTATAAAGATATAATAAGTAACTCTGTATAAAAGATTAACCAAAGAAATTGCAAGCAAACTGACGAAAAAGTTTCCGAAGCTGAATTACACAATGAGAACAAGGAAAAATGAAAAGTAAGCAACAAGAAACCAATAATTCACATTCGTGATAACAGAATATGCAATCAACAACAGTACATACATAAACATCATGTTATGCGTCCAAAGTTCGGCATATTCATCAGAGGAAACCTGTCCTGAAGATATCTGGAATTGCCAAGTACAATAATAAATATGTAAAAAATGAGTGGCAATAATACCTGAATGCTGTAAAAGCATCAATGTGAAAGTCCGCAAATAAAATGTGCAATGATAATAAAAAAACAAGGATACACGATGTGTTAACTACGCGTGCCAATTTTAACCAAAATCACCGAAACCGACTTGTCAAAAACACATCTTTATTATACCTGATTGAAAAACATAGTCTGCAAGAGCTCCCGCCGGGAAGAATAGATGGGGAGCCCATCAGTAAGCCTCCGGCACTCCCTCGCCACCATGGAATGAACTCTGACCAAACAGCGCAAGTCCAAATCCCTTCCAAACCTGAACAGATCAAATTCCCCACTTGCCAAAACCCTATCTTTCCCCTCCTTAAGATATCTCAAAATACTCTGCATCGCAGTGGTGAACTCCCCTAGTTTCCCATTAACATGTGCCAGTTCCATCTCCAACCCCTCCTTCTCATCCTTAATTTCATTCAGGACATTAAACTTCCTCGGCCTGCTAAGCTGAGCAGCCCTCCTTCTAATTTCCCTCTCAAGCGCATCAGCCCTCTTCCAATGCTTGCTCACACTCTCACCAGCGAGAAGAGACTCGACATGCTCGATCAAAATATCCTTCACTCGCTCTAACTCATCGGCCTTCACCGAGGGATCGCCGCGAACAGGTTCAATCTCCGGCACGAGAAAGTGGGCCCCGTCGAGGCGACGGCGCCAGAGGAAAATGACGGCGTCGAGGGCGTCAGAGAGGGAAGGGAAGAATAGCTTGGCGGCGGTTCTCTTCTCCCGAGAGGGGAAGACGAGGGGGTCCTTCGGAGGACAGGGGAGGGATGCGATGAGGTCGTCGATGGA